TAATGCTGATTCAGAATGGAAGTTATAATTGTAATTTTCCTTAGTTATGATAAAAGATAAATTAGATATGAAACTTTAGACTCACAAATATAGGATAGATGATAGAATATTTTTTTAAATTTTGCCAAATACAAATAGACTAGATACTGTAACTGGAATTCTTGCTTGATAGCTGTTCTATTATATGTAATTTTACTAGATTAAAGTTAAAAATCTTCCTTTTTGATTACACAGAAAAGGGGAAGTGCTGTGGAATGTTGTTTTGTATGCTGTAAAAGTGTGTTGATAAATAAAATGCTGATTGGCCAGTAGCCAGGCAGGAAGTATAGGCGGGATAAGCAGACAAGGAGAATTCTGGGAAGAGGAAAGCTGAGTCAGGAGTCACCAGCCAGACACTGGAAGCAAGATGACAAGGCAGAACTGAGAAAAGGTACCAAGCGACATGGCTAAACAAAATAAGAATTATGGGTTAATTTAAGTGTAAGAGCTAGTCAGTAATAAGCCTGAGCTAATGGCCAAGCAGTTATAATTAATATAAGTCTCTGTGTGTTTACTTGGGGGACGATAGTGGAAGAGATTTGTCCCGACTGCTGGCTGGCCAGGACACAGGAAAACTTCCAGCTACAGAAGCACATCTTCACCACTCATGGTGACCAGCATCCTCTCATACATGTTGACACATGATGTGTGTAAGGACCAAGTGCTTACCTGGACATACTCCTCTGAGGCGGATGGCTGAATCCTTTTCTCCCCTGAGAAGACCTGATGCCAGCAGGGAGTGTGGCATTTACTGCCAGGTCACTTAGAGTTGGCAACACCAGGGGCCAGAGCAAACCTAATTTTACTCACTTCCCTCTCCATAGAGTAATACAATGTCATCATTCAGCCATAAAGAATAGAAATAGGCCATTTCCAGGAAAGCAGATCATCATGTTGAATACAATAAGCCAGACTCAGAAAGACAAAGATCGCATGTTTTCTCTCATGCAGAAGCTAGAGTTTTACAAAGTAAAACATAAAAGTAGCAGGGGAACTATTTAGGAAGACAGAGAACAAGAGAGAATGGAATGGGGGACAAGACAGCAAAATGGGGTGAATATTATCTGAATATGTAATAGAGAGGTATGAAAATGTCAGAATGAATGAAATCTACTTCTTCAATGAATCTACACCAAAACCAAAAAAAAAAAAAAAAAAGCAAAAAGAAAAGTGTATAAAAAACAAAATGCACCAGAGAGATGGCTCAATGGTTAAGAGCACTGGCTGTTCTTCCAGAGGACCCGGGTTCAATTCCCAGCACCTACATGGCAGTTCATACCTGTCTGTAATTCCTGTCCCAGGGGATCTGACATCCTCACACAGGCATACATGTAGGCAAAACACCAATGTACATAAAACATAAATAAATAAATTATTTTAAAAAATGCATTTAATGCTGGAAAGAGCTATCCAGTTACTTTTATAGAGCAAGAGGTCCAACTCCACTTCCAGGTTTGAAAACCTACCCAAACCCACCAATTCTTGGACTTGGCTTGAAATCTCACCAATCTCCACTCTGAAAAACCCCTCCCCCAAGAAACCCTGTATAAAGTCTGCCTCCTGCTAGTTCCCTGCTGCTTCTTGCCCAAGCCAAGGCAGCCCCAATAACTCTTGTGTGAGATTTATTGTGTGGTATGACTTTGTGGTATTCCTTGGTTCCTGACTGGGTGGACTTTGGTGAATGAATCAAGCCTTCACTGGTGGAGTATTGATGTTGTGATCATAGCTATCTCCCTAACCTATGAGGAGAAGCTTCTAATGCCAGCTCAGAGGAACTGTGATCTCAGCCCAGCTCTGAGAATCTGTATTAATGTCCATGCTTTAGAAGCTCTCTGAGATAGAATTTCAACCATGAAATTTTCCTTCTTAAAGTATGCAAACGACGTGCCCATTCCTGCTAACTTCCGACAATCTTCATTACCTCAAAACTCACCGTCATGAGTGGTCATTCTTCAGTTACCGTCTTCTACCTCAGCAAATCCTCATCTTTCTGTCTCTGCAGACTTGAGAATAGTTGGGGCTCCATATAAGGACATCACTCTCTATAGCTATTAGTACCTGGCTTCTTTCACTGAGTATCATGCCTTGGTAAAGCATTTGTCAGCGTGCCATGTGTTGTGGCTGAATACCATTCCACTGAATAGACAGAATACTTGTGTTTGTACATTTGCCTGCTGATAGACATTTGGGTTGCTTCCCTTTTTTGGTCATGTAGTAGACCTGAAAGGCTCATAATCAAGTATGTATTGGACAGATGCTGGTATGATACCTCACCAGACAAATCCCATTCCCCATACAGGTTCAGATGACATTGGAGCATCAGTACTACAACTTTGAAGTTTCTCCCTTCCACATTTTCTAAGGCCATTTTCTGTTACTTGAGATCAGAGGGCCCTACCTCTCCCTGGAACCTGTGGATAGGATAGGAGTCAAACACTGTTAAATACTGTTGCATCACTGTTAATGTTAGCAGTAAACCTTTATCCTCATTATCCTTTTTGATATTTATTTTCCTCTAAATCTAAGATGTTGGTGGCAGGGTAGTCTGACTCCCTCATTAACAGCTGTTGCACCCTTTTTTGGTGCCCTGGCTGCCTCACCAAGAAGCCAGATGCACTACTCTCTTGTAAATATTAATTACTTTGAACACTCTTTGACACCTTGAGGAGGCTACACTGCTACTGCATCTGCTTCCTGCCAAAGTACAACTCTGGCTTCTGAAAGCACAACCAGACTTTTTCCATCGGAAACCTTAATTCATTGTAGATAACCTTATGGCATTTTCTGCCTAGACCACATTCCTTGATGGTCATTGCCTTTGTTTGGTTTTCTATTGCTGTGAAAAGACACCATGACCATGGCAACTCTTATAAAGGAAAACATTTAATTGGGGCTGGCTTATAGTTTAAGAGGTTTAGTCCATTATCATCACGGCAGGACATGGCAGTGTGCAGGAAGACGTGGTCCTGTAGAAGGAGCTAAGAGTTCTACATCTTGATCTGCAGACAATAGAAAGTCAACTTTTCCACATTGGATGTAGCCTGAGCATATAAGAGATCTCAAAGCCCGCCCCCACAGTGACACACTTCCTCCAACAAGGCCACGCCTCCTAATAGTGCCACTCCCTATATGCCAAGCATTCAAACATATGAATCTGTGGGGTCATACCTATTCAAACCACCACAGTGCACAAACTGGACTGTTACTAGTGTAAACACAGTTCTTCATTTGCATAAACAGCTTCTGCGATTGGTGAAAGCACAGCTTTCATTTGCATAAGGGACTCCTCCATTGTTGGTCCAAACAATGCATTATTTGCATGAAGGTCTGCCACAGTTGGTACACAACTTGCTCGTACCCTTTCTGACTGTATAGCCAGGTTGCTTGGTTCACTTTTTGAGTCAACTATAGACTTGGACTATAGCTGGTGTTGCAACATTAGGCCAATGATAAGGCTTCTCTGGAGCGGTCTTTCCACGACTACTTTTGATCTTCACCATTAGCAGAGCAGGGTGATCTAGTAACAGTGCAAGTAGTGTTGTTGGTGTGACAAGGTCCCAAACAGGCCTTGTAGGTTGGGATCTCTTGACAGCATCCAGTGTTTCGGCTGTCACTGTTGCTGCCTTTGTTTTCCCTTCACAAAGGTAAGAGTGGCAGCACTGGCAGGACAGTGGTAGTGATGGTGGCAATCATGGTAACTGGCAATAGCAACAAACTCCGAGAGAACAGCTGGAGCCAAATGACGAGTAGAAGCAGGCAAGGAGGGGTGGTGGGAGTAGACGGAAGACACTGGATAGCCATGAGCTGAACACTTGTGGCCTGTGTGTAAGAGAACTCTAACACTGTTGCCATCTCCTGCTGCTGCTCACGGCTTCCAAAAACCCCAGGAATAAGACATCTGCAAAGTGCCCAGGCTGCTCTGGCTAAAAACAAACAAACAGAAATGTGCCTGTTTCCCTCAAGCTGGGCATGATTAATGCAACCTTGAATCAGAGCAACTCTATCTGCATTGGGATCCCATATGGAGGGAGGGGAAAGGCTCACAAAGCGTCTCTCCTCCCCCAAGGATACATAAGTAATAACAATTTCTTAGAGGAGGAGACTCTAGTGGTGTTGCCAGACTCCAAGAATGCAGCTTTGGTGACTCATCACCAGGGATGCAGCTGCCTAAGTCACATGTGCTCCTGGAAGTAGCGTCTCACCCAGGCTCCTGTAAGTCATCTCATGGAACTCATTGGTTTGTCACAGTGAACGTGAATGGGATCCTTTATTTGTTCTATTATTCCTCTTTGTATCTAGTGTGAATAGAAATTGGCTGCCCAGGAAAAGTTATACAAAGCTTGGCACCCAAACAGGGCCTTGGCAGAGCCAGAGATGAGTCTCAGAAGGATAATTGTATGTCTCCTGTAATAAGCTATGCATCTGAGGCTGCTGTCTGAAGGTTGAGTGGTGAGGGAAGGAATCCCAGGGTGGTCATCTTCTGCGCAGTATGGAGTGATGGACCTCCTTGGTGAATGGGATCTGCTGTTTGAGTACAGGATGCTCTCCAAATGGCTAATGAACTAGAGAGTATGCTGCAACAATGGAAGTAGCACATGTGGGACAGTTGTAAGGAGACCATGGTGAGGCCTGTCCACGGCAAACACGGTGCTGACAGGCCCCGCCCTTCTCCGTTAGATTACATTCCTAAAGCTAGCCCCCAAGGTCCATTCCCTGTTTGGCCACTGACTCATTCCTGAGACTAAACACCAAGGTCCAATGATCAAAATGTCCAATCAGGAGTTACGAACTCACCCTAGCACAGACTCCCCCTTTTTTCCTTAAAAACACACTACACACACACACACACACACACACACACACACACACACACACACACTTTTCTGCTTGCTGTCTGCCTTTGCAGCCTCCCCCACTCCCCCCCCCCCCCCCCGCTTGCCCCTCCAGGGTAATAAATCTCTTTTGTGCTGAGAATTGGTGTCTGGGTGTGTCCCATACCAAACGGGTGTGGGGGGTGAGGACTCCCTTGCATTGGTTCCGGAAATTGAATCATAACTGGGTTCGATCTACAGGATCCCCAACCCAGTTCTCATTTTCCAGACTGGCCGGCTCCCATTCACTTCATCCAACAGCAGCTAATTGGTGAGTTTCCCCTTACTCGCCATCCTAAACATCCCCCAAGACACCGGGTGATAACTGTTGGGTGTCCAGCATCCCTGCTCTGTCTTGTGGGGGCGGGGAGGACGCACCCCACCACGGCCTTCAGTGTTCAGTACGGCTTGGTTGGCGGGTTTTCTTTCACTTTTGGTAGCCCCTCTAGGTGAGCTTGCGGGACGACCCCTCCCCTCACAGAGGCCTTCTGGCTCTTGATCTTGGCTCGCCAGCCAACAATGGTGATGGGATCTGCTCCCTCCAGCTCGACTGAAAACCCCACCCAGTTCACACACATTACTAATACATCTTAACATTGAAAATAGCCCTTGTATTCCCTAGGAAATCAAACAAAATGACCACCTTTACAATTTTATGGGGACGAACCGAAGGAGATATACCCTCCTTTTCCCCCTCCCTCCCCTCCTTCTCCAGGTGTCCAGCGCCTCCGCCTGTCCCCCTGCTTTTCCGAAAGCTTCCCCAAGGCTCCAAGCTTTTCCCTTGCAGTTTCTGTTCTCCCACTGGCCATCCAAACCTCTGCCTAGGGCTCCAAAGAAACACGGTGACTGACTGATAGACAGACAGCCCAGCGCTCCGGGCCCGCCCCCCTGGCCGGTCTCCTTGCCCACAGGCAAAGCCGCCCTGGCCTTCAGCCCCAGGAGCTCTCCAGTACTGCCAGTCACTCCAAGAGCCCGCTGGCGTCCCAGCTGTCCTGACTCCAAAAGGCCCCTCCTTTCAGCCTGCATCCAGAGCCCCACCTCCTCCCAACGCACTCCCCAGAGCCCGGCCCCGCCCACGGCCCTTCCTCCTCCTCCCCCTCCTCCTCCTCCTCCTCCTCCTCCCCCCTCCTCCTCCCCCCCTTTGCAGCCCTGCGGCCCACAGCCCACGGCTGTCCCCGCCCACACTCACCCCTGTGCCAACCCGCTGTTATGCTGTTACAGCCACTGCCAACGGCTGCCTCTGCTCTCCCTTCCTAATTCCCCACTTTTTTTTTGATTCCGCCCATTCCTCGCTAGGCCAATGCACTCTACACGGCCCATCCCCACAGGAAGGGGTCGTTTTCTCTCATCCGCCCAAACCAGGTGTCTCCGAACCGAGCCGACATTTACCAGCTCCCTTTTCCCTTCCATTCTCATCTCTCTCTAGGTTTCTCTCACCTCTCTCCGGGAGGTGCAATATACTTGTGGCCCTGTCACCTCTCACCTCCCTCCCCTCTGCCGCCTCCCTCCTAGTCAGCCACTTTCTCAACCCTTTCTTGGCCTGAAACTGCAGTCCTGCCTGCAGACTGCCATATCTGGCTGCCCTGGCCTGCAGTCCCACAGCTTCTGCTCTCAGCTACCATCCTAAAGTTCTCTCTCCCTGCACGGAACTGCCTGCTCTGTGTTTTGTTTCCAATCTCTGTTCTACACTTCCAAAATCTCTTCACTTCTCTTCTGTGAAGTTTCTTTCTCATTCTCTCTCTCTCTCTCTCTCTCTCTCTCTCTCTCTCTCTCTCTCTCTCTCTCTCCCTCCCTCTCCCCCTCCCTCTCCCCCTCCCTCTCCCTCTCCCTCTCCCTCTCCCTCTTCCCCTCCCTCTTCCCCTCCCTCTTCCCCTCCCTCTCCTCCCCCTCTCCTCCCCTTTCTCCCCTCCCCTTCTCCTACCCCTTGGACTACTCACATATGATTTATATATGTTTTCAAATTTAAGCCTAAAATCAGACACGCTAGATAGATGATCCTCAACTCTTTAGAGATCTGAATATGACATTCAAAATATTTAAACTTTCCATTATAGAGACATATTCATGCCTAGCACAAACACTATCATCTCCAAAGTAGACAGGGCACAATGGTGACAGTTCCCCCTGGATTTTGGTAACCATAAAACTGAGCTAAAACTGCCCACACCTTGCACTCTGCCAGGGCTCTGCTCAAACTGTAAACATTCTTGGGTTAATTGCCCTGTTCTGCCTGGTCAAAGTGAGGTCAGTTTTCCCAAGTCCCCCCCCCCCACACACACACACACACACAAATCTCTCTGACCTGAGTCTGACAGCCAAAGGCTCAATGCCTTGTATGACAGCTGAAGACCTACCACTCCATCCAGACCTCAGGAACCTAGGGTTACTGTCTTAGTAATGACAAAGTCACTGTCATTTTAATTAATACATAGACCATACCTCCGACTATAATTTATCCTTCTCAGATCTCTGGTGATCTGACCAGCCCAAATCCACACCAATCACTGTCCCAGAGCCTAGGATCTCACCTCTATGTCAAGTCACTTCATCACATTCCTTACTCACCCCACTCACCCCTCTCTGTCACCCATAGAGTGCATGACCGGTCCTCCAGACCCCTCCAAACTCAACCCTTAACTTGCTCCTTCACAGGCTTTTTCTCTCCCCAGTCCTTTCTCCTCATTCCCTCATGCCCTATCCCCTTACTAGAAGGAGATACCCTTTCCAAAATTAACACACACGTACACACACACACACACACACACACACACACACACCTACACCCCTCCTCTTCCTTTCCTCAGCCTCTTTTTGTACACTCTCTCACTCTCCATAATTCCAAAACCCCTCTTATGCTCTGCCCACTTCTTTAGTAAACCACACTGTATGGGATACCACCCTTCCTTCCCTTGCTGCTCATCATAAACGCTTCTCTATTACACCGAAAAAAAAACCCTTCTGCCTGTATCTCCAAAGCCCAATACTCCCTACCCTTAACCAGCCTCAGAGGCTTCAAACCCATCATCCAATCCCTTTTATTCAAGCAGTTTCTATGCCCCACTTCTCCACCCTACAATACTCCCATATTGGCAGTCCAATAATAATAATAATAATAATAATAATAATAATAATAATAATAAAACAAAACCTTAGGCCTAATCCAAGACCTTTCTACCATTAACACTGATGTTGTCCCTCCCCATCATGTGGTCCCCTTCCAAATGGTCCCCTTCCAGGTCCTAGGGACCTGGCCTGCCTTCCCCCCTTTCCCTCTGCCTGCTTCAGTATATAGATGACCTCTTTCTTTGCAGTCCTTCCCACTCTGAGAGTCAATCTGACACCACCTTGCTCCTCAGTTTCCTCAGCTCCAAACGTTACCAGATCCCACCTCTCCCTGTCACCTATCTTGGATTCTCTCTCACCCCAACCCATAACCACCTCACTTTAGACTGTCTTGCCCATTGTCCCTCCTTATCTCCGCCTTCAATGAAATCCAAACTGCTTTCCTTTCTGGAAATGGCTAATTTCTTCCACTCATCGGCCCCTGGAAACTCATTTCTAGTACCTCCTTTATACCAAGCGACTTCTAGATCTCCCCATGAGTCTCTTCCTCCCATTGACAAACAATTCTTTAAGCTCAAAAAATGATTTCCTTTCAGCCACAGCCCTCTGCCTCCCAGATCTATGCAGACCTTCCCATCTTTACACTTTCAAAAAACAAGATTATACCCTTGAGATCTTGAAGCACTTTCTAGGACTGACCTTTGCCCCTGTCACTTACCTCTCCAAAACTCTAGTCGAAACCATCTGAGGCTGGCCTGTCTACACGCTCCTGCTGTAGCCTCTCTGCTCATCTCAAAATCTAGGCAATAAACTCTGGGATCCCCACTTGCAATCTATTCCCACTCTCTCTCAACTTCTATAAGACTTTTTTACAAAACTGAACCCAAGCCCACAATGTATGTCAATGAACTAACCCTGTCTCCACTATACAACCCCCTACCTTTCCTATTCACCAAATTCCGGTCTAAGAAAATGTTTTAAAGTATGTAAATACAAGTTATGAAGGTCTGAGGATATGGAAGCTTAAGTAAGCTATGAAAGTCTGTAATTAAAATTAATTAAATTTTAATTTAAAATGCAAATTAAAAATATTTTAAGGTCTGAAGATTTCTGAAAGCTTAAGTAAGTTATGAGGGTCTTAGAAAATGATTCATGGGTCTAAGGAAATAATTTAAGGTATATGAAAAGTTGTTTCAGATTTCTTTTCCCCATCTATGTTATTGTTTGGATTCCCAAAATTTTACTATAACTCAAAGACATAAATCTACTGCCCTTTCTCTAATCTGCATTTCAATATGGATTAACTTGAATTCACCTGTCACAAGTCAAAAGGACTCCAGAGAGGTACTCCTGTCAACCAGCAGCCTAAGTTTCCCTACCTGTCTTCTCCTGAGGGTGGGATCTCTCCCCCTTTCCCCATCCTCTCTTCCTTTCCCTGGTCTTGGGACCCCCCCTTCCCCAACTACAAGGGCCATAAGTGTAAAAGTTTCAAATGTACATCTAAGATAAAAATTTTCCCTGAAACTCCTTAACTTTACCTCTGTCCCTAGTCTATCTGTGGTATGTGAGATATTTCATGCTCACAAGGGTTAGCAGTGGGCCTTTGGAGATCCTGCTGACCCTCTATAAAATGTTTCATATAGGATCAGCCTGAGTGCCATGGATGCACAGAAATTCAGTAATATAAACATTTGTTACTCCTAGAGACTAAGGCTCTGAGATCTGAAGTACTATGAGATAAACCAGTCTCCAATGAACAGGCCCATCCAAGCCATTCTAGACACTTGGTTATACTCATTGTGGTCCTCATGAATATCAAATACCAGAAGACAACAGAGGAAACACAGGCATCACTGTGGAAGTTGGGCATGAGGGAGACAGCGTTTGGCATTCGGTGCACTGGACTGAATAGGTCTGTCTCATAAAAGAGTTAAGAGAGAAGTTAATTCAGGAGGAACCCAAGACTGGTGGCTTTGTGGCTTTGTTGGGCTCTGTGGTATAATCCTTGTGAGCTAGGAGAGGCTGTGGTGGCTCTGAATGACTTAGACTGGCATATAAATAAGGTTTTTAAGTTGCTGAAGCAGTTAAGGAGGAGTGAAAATTCGAAGATGGAGTGATGGTCACTTTTCTTAAAAGACAGGGTCTCAGGTATCCAAGCCAGCAGAGAACTAACCACACAGCAGAGGCTGCTAGTTCTCCTGCTGTGGT